GGGATTTATTTATTGAAGCAGAACTCTAGGCCAACCTTTCTCAACCTGGGGTGCCTCTTGGCTTCCTCAGGGGTGCCTCAAAATTCTTGCATTTCTGATATGAAGGGGGCTCCCTAAGTGAAAGGGGGGCTCCAATGTTAAGTGGGACTGATGTGAAAGGAGGGGGCTCCTGATGTGAAGGGGGACTCTAATGTGAAAGGGGGGTTCTGATGTGAAGAGGGCTCCTGATTTGAAAGGGGACACTGACGTGAAGTGGAAAACTCATTAAGGGGAATTTAACAAAGCTTGAGCAGACAAAATATGTAGCAGCTGTGCATGGTAACCAATCAGCTTCTCTCTTTCATTTTCAAAGCTTAACTGAACAAACTGAAGGGAGAAGCATATTGGTTGCCATGGGCAACTGCTCCAGTTTTTGTCTGCTCCAGTTTTGATAAATTCCCCCCATTATGTTCTGAGTTTTTGAGAGGGGTCCCCCCTTAAAATTCATATCAGACTGCTATCTAGGATAAGGGTCTGGTATGGCTTTTGGAGGGGGTCACATATTGTTTTTTACATTTAGACTGGGGTGCCTCAAGATTGTGCATACTTTTAAAGGAACTACTGGAAGAAGGTTGAGAAATGCTGCTCTAGGCACATATATAATACACAAATTACCTTTGTAATCCTTATCACATCATTCATTTTACTTTTGTAAATGCAGACAGTGTAAGTATCTTGATTTGACTTGGCATCAGTCTCTTGACTCTGCATGCTGATTGCAAAACAAAGCAGAGTGACAGAGAGAGGAGTCTATCACTGTGCTGCTTCTCTTTCACTGTCCAGCCATAGGTTGGGGGCAGATCCATGACAGCCTGGGCTCAGAGAAGGTGGATTGAGCAATGCTGGTCATCAATCAACACAGAATAATGAGGTTATACAGGTGAAAAATAAGTACTTCAGGGGAAAGTTTCAGACTGAAGTTCAGTATTGCAGCAAAAGTGACTTTTTATATTATCTCCTAATGGGCTATTATTGTATTACTAGATCTCTGCTTGAAAGTAATAGAGATTGCTCACTTTTTAAAAAAACATTCATGTTTACATAGCATAGTAAATAAGGTGAGACTGTGCTCACTTCAATTACCTAATCATGTGAGTACAAATCATGTCTCCCTTGTACAGTGTATATGTATGGGTATTCAATGTGAACATAGTTTCATCATGTTTACTAAGCTAAGTGAGCATTCATTTTTCTAAGTGAACAGATGCTAATTCTAACTCCACTCCATTGCAGCAGTAAAGAGAACAACCGTGGGGCTTTTATTGCAAAGGAGTATTAAAGGCAATTTATAAATATTTGAAAAGTTCCTTTAAATATACTTGTGAATGGGAACATCTAATCTTTATGTGTGATGGATTGAATCCCCTAATTCTATGTGCAGCTTGCAAACATAAATGGGGGCAATATAAAGTATATGTAGGCCTGTTTGTGGCTCATTAATGCTACACAGTGATTACATTTTCTCTCTCATAGTGCAAGCCTATCATAGTGCTCAGGCTAATTGCAAAGAACAGGTGGTCTATCCTTTAATCTCAGTAGTGGTTCTGCAAATATTCTGAAATACATAATAACTGGGGACAATCTAAAATCTAAAAAAAAAGAAACAACAAACAAGTACAAGTGTAAAAATCACATCAAAAATGACTTTCAGGTAAATCTTACAAGAATGACTTAACATACTTGTAAGTTACACTTAAGTATTGTGAAATAAACTGTCCTTTTCAATGAAGTTATGCCGGCCCTATGAATATATTACACATAACTATGAAACAAATATACAATAAAATATTTTTATATAGTTTATATATTTTGTGACTTTACCAAAAAATGTAGTCCTTTGATATTACCATGTACCCCATAAAACATTTTTGTCCAGTGATCTTCACTAAAAAATACCTATAAAGTACGCAGAAAACCAGAATTCCTCCTTTTCCTCTTCATCTTTCTGGTTTACTACTGTGCCTGGCTTCTTCTCACTTTGGCTCTTATTAGGTTTCTTTTGCTGTGCTGTGCAGCTCTTGTGCCTGGATCGCCCTGTTGCTCAGTAAACCCAAAGTCCCAGCACTACCATGAAAGGCACAGACCATCTGGGGCCAAGTTTCCTTAGATGCCTCAATGGAATGTAATTTAGTAAATGCATTCCACTGAAGCATCAAGGGAAAGTATAGCTCCCATGAATGTCTGTGCCTGTCAGTGAGGGGCCAGGACTTTGCCTAGTAGCAAGAGGGCCAGGCTGTCGATGACAAGCAGGGACATAAGGAGACCATGACCAGAGGGTACCCACTGATGAAGAAGTACTCCTGTGATACCTCAGGATGTATTGTATTGTTTGAGATGGGGAGCTCTTTAAATGTAACAACAATTTTTAATATAATAATGTAATTTAACTTTTTAAACTATATAGCAAATAACTGCAAATGTAAATATTAGGATGTGGAAAATGTTATAGCTAAAGCAATAAAATGATTTGATTGATTATGTGCAGTTTTTACATATGTGAAAATTACCATTTTAAATGGCATAACATTCCTAAGATGGTTTTTCCAATATACAGCCATACAGATTGCTTTGGCAAGACCTGGAAAAATCATTACGCTGAAGTGCAGTGATGTCAGTGGTATAGATATCAATCTATTAGTGTTTACATTCTGATCAAATTAAGCAAATATTAAAGGGGTTTCACCTCATATTTTATGACTATTGATAGATTAAATCGCCATAAAAAATTCATACCAGTTGAAAAATTATAATTCTGATTTTTGAGCCACTGGAACGGCGTATGTGGAAATCAAACAAGAGATTTCTTTTTGATTCAAACAATCAGCTCTATGAATCAATCATACTTTATACTAACCCTGTAAATTCATTGATTAATTCAATTTGTAAAATGTATGTGCAAAGAAAAAGCTGAATGGGATAGATACATTTGCATCTGCGGGGTTGATAAACTTTCATCACTTGTTGTCTCCTCTTTACAGCAATTAGTCAACATGGCAAAATAATTGATTCCCAACTTTTTCGAGCTGCACAGGGTAACAGCAAGAAAAGGTCTGGTATCTGGTCAGACATTGTCAGTAAATATGCCTTGCCTGTGCTGTTACTAAGGAGCTAATAATGTCAAGAATGCCTTTGTCTTTCTGTCTTAGTTGACTGCTGTGCTTTCATGATAGACACAAGGCCCAGCCAAAGACTTTTCCTAATGGAAGCTCGGTGGCCAATTTTGTGACAACTCAAATGATCACTGCAGTTTTTAAAAGTTATAGTGAATGCAGACAGGCCCGGATTTACTCTCTCTCTGTGCTGCCCCAAGGCCAGGTTCATCAATGCACCCCCCTCCCTGCCAACCCCCCCACCCCCAATAGAGAATGGAAACCAGATGGCGGAGGTGGCAGAGTTGGATTTAATTTCTTTCTTTATAATTTTTGTCTTTTTTATCACTTTAAAAAAAAAGATATATACAGGTGAAACTCCAACAAAAGTAATTGCAGTAAGTGCTGCAAAAGGGGTCCAAACCAAGAAACTCCTGTGACAGCTGAGAAGGGAAGGCTGCAAGTGCAGCTCTCCTGTCTCAGTGTTTACACAGAACAGGTCCTCTTTAAGGTGATACTGGGGGTCCAAATGACCACTAGTGTCACCTTTCCACTTTAAATAAGCTATTGAAATGCAGATCGCACTTCAATAGCTTATTGCTGGGTTTGAGGAGTCGAGCAATGACAGCTCAGGGACCGGAAGTGATGCAATACATGTCGCTCCAGGTCCCATAGAACCGGGAGGAGATCGGTGAACGGACGTTCACCGCTTTCCTCCCCAGCTTCCCGCCGATACCCGACATGCTGGTCCCGGGCCCGCAGGAGGGGCCCGGGAAACATGGCAAGGGTGTCAGGCGGGGAGGCAGGCACTTTACTGGCCCGTAGAAGCGATCTGGTGGCAGCTGAGCCGCCAGAATCACTTCTATTGTAAAGCCAGCTCTACAATTGTAAACAGAGTCTTGGCGGCTTAAGTCTGTTTAAATGCGCCCGCTGCCAGTGGCATACTATGTACGTCACTGGTCGCTAAGGGGTTAAGATCTATGAGATCTAAGATCTCGTAACTCCTGAGTTTATTGTCACTTTAATTCTGTTTTATATTTTATCTATAAAACAATGGTTTTATTTACAAAAAAATGTAAATGAAACATTTATAAACAAAATAAAAAAACAGTAGTAGCAGGAATATTCCTGTTAAGAATAGTATAAATATACAGTGTTTCTATTTATTTGATCTGCTTTTACAGCATCCTATTGAAATAAAATTATCTGTATTAAGTGATTTTATCTTAGTACTTGACAGGCTTGGCAAAAAAAGGTGCATAGGCCAAAATGCATTCTATCTTGTAAAACAATGCATGGAAAAAAACGACTAGGATTATCCGTCCAAGCCATGTGCTCTTCTACTGATCTTTGCACCACGCTGTGAACATACACAACAAAATAACTCTACTAAGTGTAATAATAAAATAGAACTCTAGAAATATGTTTCCTGTGCATCGAGGAAGAACAGATATTCCTGTAATCCCCTTCACATGCACTTTGTATTTCCAACTAGGACTACAACTATTTCATCTATCAAGCCGTTTAGCTGCCAGTGAGATAATGGCACACAGATCCCTGCAGTGTTACAGGCTGTTGTCAAGTTGTAATGAGCTAGGTCTATGAAGCAGCTGTTTCACACAAGGGTTGCTTTGTCCCAGGAAGGCCTGGATCGTTTTACTGGGAGTGGCCAGACCTCATGTTAGCAGCAGCAGCAGTTCAAGCAAAATACTTTCAATACAATTCCCATTTTCTTTGCTAGAGACTCCCTAGTAAAATAAACTCCGAGATGATGTTTGACAGCCAGACTGATAACAATCCGGCTCTGTTATACTACATAGGCTGGAGGGATGCATTTAGCGAGAGTGCGAACACTAGCTTTTTTGTTACTTAGTAGGTATTAAAAAACTAAAATAACCTGATATAACCTAATAACCTAATGTACCTGAAACTTACAAGAAAAGTAAACTAAAAACAAGAAAAAGGTAATTTATATAAAAAGAGTTCTAGCATTTACAAATGTCTACATAAAACCAGTCGTACCTGCACAGAATAGAACTACTGAGCTTAACATTTATTTAGGCATGTTTATGTCATTTTGCCAGGTGAAACATTTCCTATGTTAGCTGCTGTCCCCCAAAACAAATAAAATAACAATCTAAATTAAAAGCCTAACTCCAGCAATTTTTACACTTTGGATGTAAATAATTACAAATTCTCTCTTTTGTTTAAAAGAGAACTATGGGGTAAGTGTTTTTCCTCATACTTCCCTGAAGGATCATGGGAGGACATATACTAGTGTCCTCCCGTGACCCAAAGCTCAGTATATCGCGAGCTGCAGCTCGCGGTATACTGAATCCGCTGCAACCGGGACGGATCCCGACAATGCTGTCGAGATCCACCCAGCTGCGTGAGTGACATCTGGCTCTGCCTATCTAGAGGCAAAGCCAGCTGTGCCCGCCCCCTCCCCATCCGTTCCTCCAGTCAGTGCTTGAGGATCAGAGCGGGGTGGGGGGGAATCCCTGCGGGGAGGGGTCACTAACAGTCACAGCTCTCTGCAGGGAGATGATCGAGAAGTGAGCGAGCGACGGTATGTGTTCGCTCACTTCCCGATCTATTGAGCCGACGTGTGACAGCTTCATTGTCACACTTCGGCTCGAACTATGAGGATGAGTGATTTTCACTCACCTCATTGTTCTCCTTTAATTGCCGTTTGTGACTCCATTGGGAGATTTTCTTTTACTCCCTGCCCCATGTGACATCAGGACTAAAAAGAGGGGAAGCAGTTGTTACTGAGACAGGAAGTTACAGACAACAATAAAAATATTGCCAAAATGTACAAACCTTCCACAATTTGTAAAAAAGGGGTTTTGTTTTTGTCTGAGCCCCGATTTCCAATATTGACAAGAAGTACGGGGAAGTGCCACAATAGGAACACAGACAGTATTAAAAACCTGACAGATGATCTAACACTTCCTCAATCTATCCACAACAAAATAAAACAATTTAGCCTGAGGCGGGCTTTAATATAAATCTAAAGAAAATAGCATCTCTTTGGGTCACATGGGGGGGGGGGGCAGCAGGTGTGTGATGGCACTGGTTGCCATGCGATGAGCGGAATGCTGTGACCAGTGTCCCTCACGGCTCCTGGCAACCAGTGACGTCAGTGAGCCTTCCCCCCTCGGTAACATGCACCACCAGTACCCATCCACCAACCCCCAACACACACACCCACAGCTGCTGTAGGTGGTGAAAAGTCTAGGGACACCCCTGTCTGGTGGTAGCTCAAGAGTTTTAAGTGCTCAGGACCGGGCTAACTGATAAAATGCACTTCAGGCAAGGTCCGCCTTTTCAGTGAGGCCCCCTTTATTAAATGCTGCATAAAGGTTTGTTCAGGCTAGGTTCACATCAGATGCAGTGTGTTCCGGCCCGATTCTGGCCGGAACGCACTGCATCGCATTGTGGCCGGCTCACTTTTTTTATGGGGCAGGAGGAGGCGTGGCGGGCCATTGAAGTGAATTGTGCCTGCGGTCCAGTCCGGTGCGCTCAAAATAGTGCTTGCAGGATTTTGATGGCACCGCACCGGACCGCAGACACAATGTGCCTTGCGATCCCATGAGGCCGATCGCATTGCGGCCAGAGGGCTACGTTGCCATTCACTTCAATGGCCCACCACGCCTCGTCTTGCCCCACAAAAAAGTGAGCTGGCCACAATGCGATGCAGTGCGTTCCGGCCAGAATCAGGCTGGAATGCACTGCATCTGGTGTGTACGAACCCATAAAGAGCATTTGGGGTAAAGGCAAGTATATTATATACCCATTTCTCCCTCAGACTTTTTATTGACTTTTTGGGAAAGGGGGGGGGGGGG